TTAATAATGTATCACTACCTACTGTAATATGAAGGAGTGGGTAGAACGACTTCCTTGAGAGAGTACATATCTTCATCCAAGACCACTTGAGGCAAGGTTTTCCGAGGATATGGATGAAACTGACTAACAAGTAATGACGTCAAAGAAGTCACAAAGCGATACTGCCAACAGAAATAAGATGGACATTAGGACCAATAAGGACAATTGAAATTTATAATGCTGCTTCTCCATGCACATTGTACAAAGATTTAGTTTTTCTACTGAAGAAAATATATTGCGGTAAAAATTAATTGATGTATGGTTAGCAAAACAATCTTTTTCATTTAGTGTATGTAACATATTTGTGTAGTTTTTAAACCAAAAATGTATATAAGATGTCTGGTCCCTTTCTTAGTTTGTTACATTGATGTGATGTTGTAACTTCTTCGATGAATTAATCGTAACGATTCATGTGAAAGAGGTAAGAATTTGATACATCTGTCCCCTTCCGATTCACCTGAAGAGATAATTTAAGAGCTTGCTGCTTCAGGGTTTCTCTCTTGCTCCTGTCAGTCTCGCCAACCCTCTGTTGCATAAGGTCCCTGATGTAAAGGTATGCATGCATTCTCCGCAGTATTCCCTCAACTTTGAAGTCGTCGTACAGGGGTGTTAGAGCCTCGAACTGTGACTTTAGATCCACTACAGGACTTGTCAACTTCAGGTTTACAGGTCCACTGGCAGACGTCCCTATGATGTTTGTGGTCAAGGAGTCCAAATGAGGGTCAAGGACGCCAGTGCATATAAGCTCAGATCCATCTAAGTAGTTTGTGAAGTTTTGTTGTGTCCCAAAAGTCACAGTGTCGCTGTACCTGAACTTGACACCGTGAAGCATGGCTGAGGACACCTCCTGGTAGAAGTTCTGTATCTGTCTGGCAGGATCACCATCTGTGTAGATCCTTCTCGCAACACCAAAGTTCTGGAGCGCCAGTTTCTTGACGAGTTCCCAATCAGCATCCTTCCCAAAGGCCAGTGTGTAGACAGGGATGTCCTTCTTGTTGGCCGATCTCACATTCTGGAAAGATAATTTTCAATACAGAAGTCGTGTTAAAATTGTGACTCAAACATAATGACAATTTTGTGATTATTGCATACATGGAAAATTGCAAAGCAACCAGGAATAATATATTTTGAAGCAGGCGGCATTCATTGCCCTCAGGTATAACTGTGGAAATATCCCATCCATACTGGTCGTAAGAGGCCACTAAAGAGATTGGGTGGTCTTAAGAGATTGGTTGATGCACATGATTGTATCCCAATTGCGTAGACCGATCCTCATGATCTCAATCACTGGATAGAATCGCCCAGACGCGCTTTTATACAGACAGCCATCATATAACTGGAATATTGCTGAATGCGGCGTCAAACAACAAACAAACAAATTGACTGTGGTCAAATACAAATAATTCTTAAAGCGAGTTCAGGCAGTTTTAGTGATACACAGTAGCTATTACAGATCATAACTCCATGCAATCAACTCCCTTAGTTCAAGTGCAACAATCATGAAGAAACATGGCTTATCTGCGTTCACGAAACTGATATTTTATAATGTTTAAAATAATTATTTCAGGGACGTGTGCAGACGCCTATTTGTCCAAAAGCATGGAGGTGATTTTTGTACCGATATGGGCCAAAAGGTTTGAACATGTTTTCTGATGCAAAATTGGCTCACAAATCCAAAAATACAGTCTTACAAATAAAAACCGTGGCTTTAGCCTACGAGAGGACGCTGAAGTGATGACACAGCATTCTTTTCAAGTGAACTGGCTACTGCCCTCTTTCAAATGTTATTTACCAACTACAAATACCTTTTATTAAATCTTAGGTGGTTGCAATATGAAGAAGAATGATATATCTGTAATATCACAACATAATATATTGAATAGTTGTATGTAGAGTAACTGCAAATTATTTTTCTTCTAAGATTTATGTATTTTACATCAAAATACATGTTCAAAACTTGTGGCCTTTCTCGGTACAAAAATCCCCTCCGGGATTTTGGAATGTAAGTCCCTCCCTTGAGATCAATACTAATATTCATTTCCATTATAAATGTTCTTACCTGTAATATCATGTCAGGAGTATGCTCTCCAGCAGTTGCTCTACCATCAGTGAGAAAAATAATGAGTGCTCCCTCAGATGACCTCTGCCTTTCACTTAAATATTCCAGGCCGGATACAAGCGACTCTTTGATGTTCGTCCCTGGAAATTATTTGAAATACCACATTCAGTCCTTGAAGATGCTGGCAAAACCCCAAAAAGCGACAAAACCCTTTCCATATCCAATAGAAATCTCTGCATAAAGTATAGTCAATAGTACGATTCCGACTATACCATGGCATAATATTACACCTTGTGTTATTCACAGGATAATATGAAATAAGTGCGACATATTAACATGAAAAACTTTGACAATTTCATAAGCATGCACAACTTACAGCCTACAGATTTGAGTGACTCAATATATTTGACAGCACGCTCGGCATTGTTTGCTTCCGCCATGTCAGACTGCCAGAATTGGACACCAGAGCTGAATGAGATGACGTTGAACTTGTCGTCTGCCCTGAGATCTCTGAGGATGAACTTCATGGCGGCCTTGAGCTGGTCCATCTTCCCGTTGTACATGGATGTGCTTGTGTCCAGGATAAACAAGATGTCTTTAGGGATGGGGTTGGGAATTGCAGGGGCAAAGAAGTGAATGAAGTAGCCATTTGAGACCTAGAGGAAACACAATGAAATAAAGATTTGTAAGATACAGATTTCGCCATTAACAATAATAAACCTTGCTGATTTGCATTGTATGTTTAACATATCATAAGGTGATTAGAAAAAGGCAGGTGTTAAGAATGGAATTATAATTCTCCATAGCATACTTTAGATATTTGTAACCTATGCCAAAGTCATTTTCCTGGTTATTGTTAAATAGAAGCATATGTTCCACACTATAAGGATCAAGAGCTGCCAAGCTCACCAGGAGATCCCCAGCATCAAAGCCCCTGTGAACATCAAACATCACAGAGAAGACCCCAGAGAGTCCTTCTGCCCACCGAGACAACTGCTGTTCCAGGGTAGGGTAGAAGCGAATGTAGGCAGTGTTAGGGGTGGGTCTCTGTATGACAGCCAGGTTGTTGTTCTCTAGTGTCAACAAGAAATATATAAGATACACAGTCCATGTGATTTCATCTGCAGTATATCTAAACAATGGTTAAAGCATCTTGGAGATGGCTTTATTGGTTTCGTGTTTTCGAAGCATTATTCATCCATTTCATTGTAAACTGTACTCTTTAATCATACCAGTAATGTCTACATCTGTTATGCTGTTGCTGTATATTGGAGGGACTTTGAGGGTCGTAATGTCACGTGTGTCCTGTACAGCGACGTCTATCTTCATGTCGGGAACAGGCTGGCCAGGGTCGATGTAGATGGAGTGTGTGTAGACACCATCACGTCTTTGTAACACCTCCTCATACGTCAGGTTGAAGGTAATGTTGGCTTTTTTAGGAACACTGATGATCACTCTGAACTTGTTCGTCTCATGGGCGCTACATTTGAAAAGAGATAGAAATATTTTCATTTGCATGCTTTTTCTTTGCTGCAATTGTTTGCAAAAGTGATCAGTCAAAGTATCGTATGTAGTTTAATACCTACGTGCTTATCAAGCAGAACAAACCTACTGTATATTTCACGGAGCTCATGTTGTCTGTTGAGATAATTGCAATGGCTGGTGATTGTGGCTCACATGGCATTCCCTGTTTTCTCATAAGCGTTTCTGTAGTGTAATTAAGCATTTGCTATACAAAATATTCTTTATATCAGTTTCTACGAAAGTTTTGTGGTACGTGATTAACAACTTCATTAAGTGTAGACCCGTGAAGATTCGGGTCTTCAGCAACCCATGCTTGTCATAAGTGGCGACTACGCTTGTCGTGAGAGACGATTAACGGGATCAGGTCGTCAGACTCGCTGACTTGGTTGATCCATTTTATCGTATCCAAATTGCGTGCATCGATGCTCATGCTATCAATCACTGGAGTATGTGGATCCAGACACGATTATTTACATACCGCCGTCTTATAGCTAGCGTTAAACTACAAACAAACAAACAATTAATTATGGAGTGGAACAGAATCATTGATCATCACAGCAAATCTGTGCACCACTGTAACTGATTGTATGATAAATCAAATATACTCGTAGATACAAATAAATAATACAGTCTCTTTATGCAAGAGATGTCTACAGTACACGTCTGCATATATTTTTATAGCTGCCAAATTTCCGTGACGATATACGTAAACTATGATAATGGATTATATGGAAGAAGGACCCGGACAAACGTGAAAGTGTCTCCATGTCATAATACACCACGTCGTTCTGTATATGAAACTATGACGTATGAAGACGGAATATGACGTATCGTTGCCAAACCTCTCAATATCCCCATGCCATAATACACCACGTCCTTCTGTAGATGAAACTATGACGTATGAAGATGGAATATGACGTATCGTTGCTAAACCTCTCAATATCTCCATGCCATAATACACCACGTCGTTCTGTAAATGATCTATGACGTTTGAAGATGGAATATGACGTATCGTTGACAAACCTCTCAATATCTCCATGCCATAATACACCACGTCGTTCTGTAGATAAAACTATGACGTATATGTAGATGGAATATGACGTATCGTTGACAAACCTCTCAATATCTCCATGCCATAATACACCACGTCGTTCTGTAAATGAAGCTATGACGTATGGAGATGGAATATGACGTATCGTTGACAAACCTCTCAATATCTCCATGCCATAATACACCACGTCCTTCTGTAGATGAAACTATGACGTATGAAGATGGAACATGACGTATCGTTGACAAACCTCTCAATATCTCCATGCCATAATACACCAAGTCGTTCTGTAAATGAAACTATGACGTATGAAAACGGAATATGAAGTACCTCTTGCTCACGTGCCCTGCAGCTTCTCCCTGTGCTTTTGCTGTTGTATACGACCTTTCCGCGGTTTCCTTTTCGTGGATGGTGCTATCATACTGCACACCATTGTATATACTGAAACATGGACGTCATTGTATGTAATGATTATGATGTGTATTTGTTTCTTCTCCTAATCGTTTGTAAACACTAGACTAATTCCTGGTAGACAACAATGACCATTGCCATTTGCAATGAGGTGAGGTGAAATGGGGTTTAACGTCGCGTCCAAGATGATTGCACTTATATAGCGACGTGCATGTACGTGTGTGTGTTTGTGTGGCTGCTTGTACTAGTCCGGACTGATGCCGATTTATAGTGCTAGCTCACTGAGATACCATGCCGCAGTTTAACATGAATACCCCACTCAGACACAGTATACTGACTCCGAGCCGAGCAGTCCTTGTTTTAGCCCCTTAATGCCGAGCGCCAGACAGGGTAACAACAAGTACCATCTTTAAACGTCTTTTGGTGTGACGCGGCCGGGGATCGAACCCCGGACCTTCCGCTCTCCGGGCGGACTCTCTACCACTAGACCACGGAGGCGGTCCCATTGCAATGAGATTTAAATAGACATGTTAACGTAATCAGATGATCCATAATGTTAACTAAAAAAACAATCTAATGACAATTATGTATTTCAGTTTAACGTATTGATGATAGAGTAATTAGGAAAATGTTTAAGTATTTAATCATCTGAATACTACCTTATCCTAATTTGTTACATTTATTAAGTGTCTTATTAACAAAACATGGCAGTACGTACAAGAAGAAGTCGCTGATGTATGCAGAGTTGGGAAGCGTCAAATCAACGGCGACCTCGGCAGTGATGTTTGCTGTGTTGAAGATTCCGCCTGTTACCATTGTCTTAGCGAAGCGGTACCGAATGTCCGTTATCACGTGCAGAAACTTGAACTCTGCGATCTACAATTAATTTGATGGGCATATATGAATTGCTTAACTAACAGCTAAGCTCATTGCATCATCTACCTCTTAACGCTATATTTAAATGATATAATTTTGAAATATTTCTAGATTCAAGTTTTAAAACTCCATGAATTTTCAACCCTTTACACGTAACTATCTCTAATGAGTGAGTGAGTTGGGTTTAACGCCGCTTTTAACATTATTCCAGTTATATCACGGCGTCTATTCCTCACGAAGAAGTGAAAGAGGAAGTGTCTAACATTCTCCAATCAATAGGTGTCCATTCTTAGTGTCAATGAAAGAAGCTGTGGTCAATTTGTCAAAACTGGATGCAACACTACTCAGAACATTCAGATACCCAAATGAAGTCAGTTTTTTTATTGACAATATTTTTGTCACATTTAGAAACAGAACACATAGACACAGTTATCCCTATGGGAACCAATCGTGACATCTCCTAGCTCACCTGTTTCTCTTTGTATACCCATCAGATTTAGATTGCTTTCGTCAAATGGGAGAAAGGTCATTTCGACAAAACATGGAACCTAGGTTCCAGATATATCGTGCAATGTGAAATAATTTTTGTAGTAACTGTCCGTGGAAGATGAGCGCTGTCTTGGCCAGATTTGATTTGATTTGATCTATTTCCTACCCCGGAACCTCAAGGGCAGGATTTGAATAGTGGTCGGGGGGGGGGGGGGGGGGGGGGGTTTCCAGAATGGGTCTGTGCTAGAACTAGCGTTGTCTTCTTTTGTTGTCCACACATGAACACAGCACGATATTGTGGCACGTTCCAACAGCTTCTGTTTCACACAGTCCTAGAAACAGGTTGTACATATTCAATGGCGCGATTTGAGGCCTTTTCGGCCAGGTTGGTTTCTAATCTACTTTCTAATTGGATACCTGCAGCGAAACATTGCATTCCTGTCAGCTTTAAACACTATTCGATTCAAGAACAGAGACAGACATTCAACAGTGACAGCATTATGAACATTCGTGAGTGCAGAAACATTCATTCTCGGGCAAATTACTTGCTGCTGCAACTACTTGACCTAATGTTGTTTTTTTCCGTTTTAATTTTAAACCTGAAACTTGCTTGATAATAATTCTTGATGATTTATTGACTTTTAGTCCCGTGCATACTGATTTGTGGATTACCCTTTGTCTTTCAATTTAGAAATCGCCTCGTAACGATAGATAGATAGATATACCAAATTGCCAAGCGGAATGATTTCAATGTTTTAATCATGAAATTCGCCTTCATGTTGAGGAATGTGCATTCAGCTAAAGCTTATGGCGTCTATATTTCTCAGTTGCTCATTTACTTCCGAGAATACTTTACTAAAATTTCATTTTGCTTACAGCTAAGCAGTTCAATCAGTGTTTCACTATCATGAGCCTCGTAACGTCATTCAAGAAACTTTATGGCAGACATTTAGAGGAATTTATTAATTATGACTCGTCGCTTTTCCATACCTTGACCTTCACAGGTAGTTTAGGGGCGGTCGGGTAGCTTAGTGGTTAAAGCGTTCGCTCGTCACGCTGAAGACCCGGGTTCGATTCCCGACATGGGTACAATGTGTGAAGCCCATTTTTGGTGTCCCCCGCCGTGATATTGCTGGAATATTGCTAAAAGCGGCGTAAAACCAAACTCACTCACTCACCCTGAGGTAGTTTTCACACCTCTTTACTTAGTGGCTCTTGTATTTATGGATCGACTTGGTGACTTGGATAGCATTGTACCCGACGTCATGAATCACTGGATTGTCTGGTCTAGAGTTGATTGTTTACGCATGGCATTAATATAGCTCGGTGTGGCGTTAGGAAACAAACACTACAATTTTATTCATTAATAATCTGCTATCAGTATGCTGAATATCCTTTTTCGCGAACACCTTGTGTCATCTCTGATTTTCAGTAATTCATTCATATAAAGCTCATTATTTTTACTAGGGGCGGTCGGGAAGCCTAGTGGTTAAAGCGTTCGCTTGTCAGGCCGAAGACCCGGGTTCGATTCCCGACATGGGTACAATGAGTGAAGCCCATTTTTGGTGTCCCCAGCCATGATATTGCTGGAATATTGCTAAAAGCGGCGTAAAACCATACTCACTCACTCACTCACTCACCACAATTTCTACTTTTAATCTTTATCGGCAGATCATCGGGATTGATTATTCTCTGACATTGAGTTTTTTATATTTTGTGTAGATTCAGAGTCAATATGTTTGTAAAAAGCCACAAACCATCAATTCGAAAACAGATCTTATTTTATGTCCACGAACCCTTAAATTTTGTATTGGTGGGACGCCGTCATTCGCGATGTACGCTGCGTCCCTCACGGATGCCAGAAACATTTCATCGTGGGTTCGAATCACAGATTCGCCCTTATCATGTTTCTATGTTTGTCAGCCCTATAACTTGTAGCTCGTAGGTTTCACCAAAGTGTCTCCTCTGACATCAACCTGACTCGCTGTGAAATCATTGAACTACTGTTGAAGGTGAGTTAGCCTAGTGGATACAGCGTTTGTCATCACGCCGACAACCAGGGTTTGATTCCCCACATGAGTACAATGAAGCCCATTTCTGGTGTCCCCTGACGTGATATTGCTGGAATATTGCTAAAAGCGGCGTAAAACCATATCAGTCGTGACGCTAAACCAAAGTCACACCTTCAGTATCATACAAATATTGTGATTTATTTATTTGAAGGACTGTTGGACAACTGACTGATGTACAAACATGGCTCGGTAGAGATGCTGGTGGCCAGGGAGTCGGAGGACACCAAGTGAACACTTCCCTTGACGGAAGAGAGATAAGACGATCCGCGTAAATATAACCGACAAAATCCTTTTCAGTGTCATAAGACAGTTCTGCCGTGAGTCCAATCTACGAGTCCGCTACGAAAACCTACTACTACTGCAGCTACGAATAATAATACAAATAAAGATTAACAAAACCAAATTTGCCAGGCTGCATATGGCGTATTCAAATTGCATCCACGGGTCTCTGGGGACCATACTATCAAGGTGGTAGGTGTTTGAGGGTTTATGGTGACAGTGCAGTCTAAAGCCTAGTCGCCGACCCATGTGGTATGTATGTAGGACAAGCCTTGGATATAGATGGGACAGTGCAGCCTAAAGCCTAGTCGCCGACCCATGTGGTATGTATGTAGGACAAGCCTTGGATATAGATGGGATAGGTGGTGCCTGAGTATCACAGGTACAGATGCTCACCTTTATTCAATGACGCAACGTTTAACTTGTGATTCTGTGCAAAAAAAATAATACCCCGTAACTGGATACAGTCTATTTTGTTTGTTGTTTACTGCCACACTCAGCAATATCCTAGATATATGACGGCGGTCTGTAAATAATCGAATCTGGACCAGACAGTCAAGTGATTGACATCATGAGCACCAAGCTACGCAACTGGGCTACGATGACATGCATCCAAGTCAGCGAGCCTTACCACCCGATCCCATTAGTCGACATGCGGGGGTTGCTGAAGACATACTAAAACCCGGATCTTCACAGTATTAAATGGATACAATGGATCTTTTAAGTTCGTAGAGTGTTTTGTAATTTATTCTTAATATTCACATAATATTTTTCTGAATGTGCTGACAAAAGAGTTATGACACATTAGGTCTTAACCAATATATAGTCATATTTCCTTGATATCCATGATACCTGTCAAATTCATGTTAACAGACACGCAGTACAATTTCTTCAGACGTCAGCAGAGCTTTCAAAAAGTCTTATCGGATTTTATCGAAAACAAAAATGTCCCAGAAATGTGTTGCAAAAGATATTGTCAGTCCCAAAAATTCAATTGAGGCAATATTCAGGTTCAGTTATAATTAATCAAAATATTTGGTTTTGCCGCCGTAGCTGAAGAAATAGCTAATCTTCACACACACACACACACACACACACACACACACACACACACACACACACACACACACACACACACACACACACACACACACACACACACACAAATAATAAAAATCAAATCAAATCAAATCAATCAATCAATAACAAATAATACTAATACTAATAATAATACTAATAATAATACTAATAATAATACTAATAATACTACTAATAATACTACTACTAATAATAATAGATCTAATAATACTTAAAAATAAGAAAAAAGTAAACTTAATATTCAAAAAATATGAAATGGTCGGACCCCTAAATTTGACCTGACTTCATTATAAAGAAGGATATGATGAGGGCACTTTCTTACTTTCTCTATGTATATGTACCATGGTTTCTGAGATTTTTAAAATGAAATTTTACTTCGTCGTAGTTAGAACATTTTATGTTATTGCTATGTTCAGTTGATTTGGAGAAGTAAACGTTCCAGTGCTACCGGACGGACGGACAAAGACCAATAGGTTCACATGGACGCAGTCAGGTTGAGGTAAACACGACAAATTATCAACCATTACAACAGTTAAAACACATGGCTTAAGCAAGGCTGGGTTACCTCTTCATCTTCCGCCACAGCAATGGCGGGTAGAAGCAGAAGCAACGCCGTTATCCACATGTCTCCCCTGGTCATCCTCCGCACCTTCACGCACCTGTCCGAGGAGCAACCTGCACGTGTGGCATCTCCGAACCTAGTGAATCTCCAGTATAATCTCGTCCGGACAAGATGTGAGTCATGGGTGATCTTACTGACACACCGCAAGTGGACTGTTTCCCCTGGACTGAAGTGACGCTTGGTTGTGTTGACTGGTGTCATCTTGTGTTAGTTGGTGAATGAGTGACATGAGTGAGTGAGTGGTCGAACCCTTGGCTTTCCGCTCTACAGCTAGACCACGGAGGAGTGAGTGAGTGATTGAGTGATTGAGTGAGTGAGTGAGTGAGTGAGTGAGTGAACCCCTGGCTTTCCGCTCTTCGGGCAGACGCTCTACCGCTAGACCACAGAGGAGAGTGAGTGAGTGAGTGAGTGAGTGAGTGAATAAGGTGAGTGAATGAGTGAATACGTGAGGTGAGGTGAGTGAATGAGATTAAGTAAATTTGTTAACTCTTCTTGTATATGAGTGAGTGAATGAGTATGGTTTTACGCCGCTTTTAGCAATATTCCAGCAATATCACGGCGGGGGGACACCAGATGTGGGCTTCACACATTGTACCCATGTCGGGAATCGAAACAGGGTTTTCGGCTAGACGAACGGACCCTTTAACAACTAAGCTACCCGACCGTCCCTCATATATGTATTGCCAAATAATTTGTAGAATGTAAATCTATTCGGGGTACCATGGGGATGTTTTCGTCATAACCTTTGAGTTTAATGTCCAAAACCGAAGCAATATCCCAGTTATATGACGTCGTAAACAGCCTGGACGAGACAAACCAGTGACTGATGTCACGCAACCAGCCAAGTACCCGCATCTTGCTAAGTGGGGGCACGGGTGGCCCAGTCGTCTAAGGCGCCGCGATTCGCTGTGCAGAGTTGCGTCCCTTGGGCACGCCAGAAACCTATGATTGTGGGTTCGAGTCCCGGTTCGCCCCGATAATGTTTCTAGGTTTGTCAGCACCATACCCGTGCTCGTGGGTTTCACCGAAGTGGTAAACGTCTGAGTCCTGCAACACTTCGGGCTTTCCTCCCACATTAAGCTGACCCGCCGTGATATAACTGGAATACTGTTAAAAGCGGCGTTAAACACAACTCACTCACTCATTCATTTGCTAAGTTGGTGGCTGCCACTTCTATCCCCGGGGCCCTTTGAGTCGCATTTATCAATTATTGTGACATGCCTTTGCATAAAATGCTACAAGCATATACGTTGTCATTATCGTGTATCAATATACTCATCTCATTGTTGTAATCGGGGATAGAAGAAAGGCAATGTAAACATGCATAATATTGTTAAAATAATTATGCTGACCAATGAGAGCTTATACACGGAAGGTTTTAATAATTTAACATATAAAATGCTCGTCAGACACATTTTCTGTGTTTCGTGTATTATATATACGTCAGTGAATTGCATTATTGATTTAATGTTTGGGGAGGTGGGGTAGCCTGGTGGTCAAGTGTCCGGTGTGTCTAATTGACGAGGGTCCAGGTTTTATTCCCCTCATGGTACAATGTGTAATGCCCAAGCTTATAATATTGCTGAGATGCGTAAAATCAGTATCATCCATTGATTTAATGTCTCACAAGTACACAAACATGTGGTATAAACTTACATATATTGTAAAGTTGGGATAACGTTGTGTGATATTACTCAACACTGGTGGAGCGCTTGTGGCCCTCTGTCGTCTGAGGCACAGAAATTCTACTCGAAGATCCGGGGTAGAATAGGTCTTCAGCAACCCATGCTTACCGTAAAAGGCGACTATGCTTGTCGTAAAAGGCGACTAACGGGATCGGGTGGTCAGGCTTACTGACTTGGTTGATGCATGTCATCGATCCCAATTGCGTGGATCGATGCTCATGATATCAATCACTGGATTGTTTAGTCCAGACTCAAATATTAACAGACTGCCATCATATAGCTGGAATATTGCTGAGTGCGGCGTTAAACAGCAAACCAACCAACCAACCAACCACAGAAATTCGCTATGTAAAGTTGCCTCCCTTGGGCTTGCCAGTCTCGTGGGTTTGAATCCAGGTTCACTGTGGTTATGATTCTAGGTTTGTCAGAACGATGCCCATGCTCGTGGGTTTCAAAGTGGAAAACATCCAAGAATACATACGGGCTTTTCTCTACATTAAACTGATGCGCCGTGATATAACTGAAATACTGTTCAAAGATGCGTTATATTAAACTCACGTATTAACACCGATTGACGCTCTATCAACATCCCCATTGTAATTACGAAGCTGTGCAGAAAATGTTGAGTGACATCATAATGTACATTATGTGAAAGCATGCGTTGGTTTGCAGCGATTTAACAATTCGGTACAGGCGTGGGCCAATAATGTACGGCCTTGCTTGGAGTGATGGGCTTGAGGATACACAGATGTTTCCGTTGGCGGAAGAGGGGTCAAGACAGTGATCGTAGCTGTCCACTTTGTTACGCATCTGTCTGCGTGTTGACGGTCATGGCACAATGAACCAGTCTAGAATATAATGCATTTGGAATTAGAGACTTCGATAAGCCCTCAAAAGACGAAGATGTGTTCTGTGATGCCACACCTTGTCATCATTCACACCGTGGCGATCCTTCTCACACAGTCACACACCTTGTCATCATTCACACCGTGGCGATCCTTCTCACGCAGTCACACACCTTATCATCATTCGCACGTGGCGATCCTTCTCACGCAACCACACACCTTGTCATCATTCACACCGTGGCGATCCTTCTCACACAGTCACACACCTTGTCATCATTCACACCGTGGCGATCCTTCTCACGCAGTCACACACCTTATCATCATTCACACCGTGGCGATCCTTCTCACACAGTCACACACCTTGTCATCATTCACACCGTGGCGATCCTTCTCACACAGTCACACACCTTGTCATCATTCACACCGTGGCGATCCTTCTCACGCAGTCACACACCTTGTCATCATTCACACCGTGGCGATCCTTCTCACGCAATCACACACCTTGTCATCATTCACACCGTGGCGATCCTTCTCACGCAATCACACACCTTGTCATCATTCACACCGTGGCGATCCTTCTCACGCAATCACACACCTTGTCATCATTCACACCGTGGCGATCCTTCTCACACAGTCACACACCTTGTCATCATTCACACCGTGGCGATCCTTCTCACGCAGTCACACACCTTATCATCATTCACACCGTGGCGATCCTTCTCACACAGTCACACACCTTGTCATCATTCACACCGTGGCGATCCTTCTCACACAGTCACACACCTTGTCATCATTCACACCGTGGCGATCCTTCTCACGCAGTCACACACCTTGTCATCATTCACACCGTGGCGATCCTTCTCACGCAGTTCTTCCTTCTTCGGCAGTTGACATATTACTTACTGGTGGCTATTTCTTCACTTTTTTAAACCTTTGTTCATAAATTCTGAACTTCGAAAATAACGAAATAGAAATCCAATAAGTTTGGAAATTTCTGTAATAACAAACTAGATCTTATCTCACTTTTATATATCTCGGTGAATTCCATTGTGTAAGTTTGGAGTATGTAGTGTTTCTTCTTTCATTGTGCTCGCAAAAGTGAAAATAAAAACATACCGCTTGCAAGAATCAATTGCGCATTAATGACTGGAAAAATATTCATTTGAAATTGAGCTGCGAACTCGAATGGCTCACGGCTCAGAATCTGACGAAAACTCACAAAGTCAGGTATGGGTAGCGTCCCCTCTTTGAAATGCGCATGCGTGTTGCGGACGACGCGGTTTTGGTGGCATCCGGTGGGAGTTACGAATTCAAAGATTGAAAACAGTTTGTTTTGAATCAGATGATCTGCTCCTAATTTACCGCAAAATCAACCATGCCGGTAAAATTCAAGGTACATTTGTTAAATTCACTTAGCTTTTACTAATATGTAGACCTCAATATTTAAGAAAACATCAGCAATGAAATGTGCGATGCCGTCCATTTCAAATCTTGTCAACAGGGCAAGTCGTCACTTGTTTCCAAGGAAGGTGTTTACATTGTATGCAGAGGTTATTTACATGTAATGTATTTGCAGGGATAGTTTTTCATAGTAATGAGAGTATCTGATTAAATAAAAGCGTTGTTGGCTTACATTTCTTCAAGAATCACCTTGAAATAACCTGTATCAGGCCAGACCTGGGTCATGTCATGTATTTTCGTGTAGCACATTTGTCATTTTCCTGATAACAGAGGTTATGCAATACACATGAAGAGAACGTTCCTTGGGTTTTGACAGTTTTATATCAATTGCATGTGTAAATTTCTATGCACAAAAACCAAAAGTGGATTCTGTGCAGAATACTTAGCTACAGGATTTTGCTATGAGAATGTTCTTGCTTATCAAATTAATGTATTTATTTTGATTGCAAGTAGACGGATGTAATGGTTGTAAACTAAGTTAGTATTGATGCATTATCAAGGAAACTCCTCCCTTTCTATTTTATATTTTACCAGGTCCAGATGCAACACCAGATTTCAAGGTGTACGTAAATTTCAGTGCTGCACTCAAATTTCTGGGCATTTGTCAACCACTACTCTCTTGTATCATTACAATTTGCCACAGACTTGGAACAAAATCCTCATGTAACATCTTGTATGTTTACCGCAAAGTTTTGTTTTCAGCACGTTTACTTTACAATTCATTGCGATATCACAAAGAGGATCCAGATAAACCAATCAAGTCATACCAATCATTACCTCGCTAGTGAATCAGGTAACCGGCTGCCATATGCAAACTTCGATCCAACATGATGTATGATCCATTTTTTAAATTGGAGAAATTCTATCGCAAGAGATAACATTAGAGATGAATGGGAACACTTTCCATTTTTGCACTTTTAAAGTTTATTGCATTTATCAGAGAAATGTTTCTAAAAGTTTTCTAGCACTTGTAATACTGCTGCCATTTTGAAAATACACCATGACCTAAAAAACTAGTGATCCAGAGGACCCCTAAGTACTAATTTCAAGGTCCCTTACAGGAAATATGAGGGTCTTGTCAAGTAATGAAATGATGTAGTGTAGTGTCCTTTAAGATTTAATAATTACTTTAATGACAGGAACTTGAATTTGGTACAGTGATTATTACTGTGTCCCTCTGGACGCAGTTTTTTTTTCTATCTGTGTCTATTCTATACATTTGTGCATACTGGATTCACATTTATCTGTCGCGGATAACCCTGAGTTACCTCCCTTGCCTTGCGATTACAAGGCGTACAGTGATTTTGAGTGTACATTGTAATATGAAGGCATCATGAAATCCCAAGGCAAAGGTGCCAATAAAAAATTACGTCCCTTTGAGGAAGAGTTACCGTTCATTTTGCGCACATCAAATAAACTTCAAAACACCCAGTAATTTGAGTGCAGCTTTGGAATTTGTGTAAGCCTTGACATCTGGTGTTTCGTCCGCATCTGATAACTACTTGAACGTAAGGACAGGATCATGTGTATCACAAAAGTGATGCAGTAACAACTCTTAAGCTAGAAAGTGTCTGAGTACGTGTGTCTGCAGATTTAGCCACTAGATCAAAGACAGTGTAGTAAAATTCTGTTTGGTCTAGTAAGCTCAGCTAATATGAGTCCTTTAAATAACACTAAAATCTACTGAAAATGATGTAAAGAACCTTGTTTGTGCTAATAGACTAAAATGTCTAAAAAGACAGAGTGTAAAGGGTTTATTGTCAATTGCTTAAGTTAAGCAAACATATCATTAGGCATGTAAAATGGTAATAGCTCTAGAATTCATGTAAAGAATCATTTTCATGGCATATTGTATGTGTAATTAATTATGTAAAATGGAAATACCCATTTATTTACAGGGAAAATCAGACTACAAACAAAATTTCAAATGGTTTGATTCATATCGTAGCAAGGGTTTTGTACCAACATGTGAACAGGCAGTTCCATCAGCTGGGATGGAGACAACAAAGGCTTGTATGTTGTGATACACTCTTGGACTTGTGATGGCGTGTTGCATGCTGCATATCCTGCATAGACACCATGCTAACCTTTTGCTACGTTGCAGATGCTGGTTGTGGTTGTCTGTTTCATGTGCATACTACCATCACTACCGATACATTTTACTTTAGTGCTGACTAACTATAACCAACAGAGATTTCATGATACAATGTAGTAAATTTTGTTTGTTGTTTGAGACCGAAATCAACAATATTCAAAGGTGTAACTATTAATAGTTCAGGGTAAAACCAGGCCTCAAAGTTTATATTTTCACCAAGTAGCTATATGGCTACAAGTATATATTTTTTCAGGAAGCCAGTGGTAAAATCAAGAAGTCAAGCCAATAGTGTAGGTAACCAAAAGCATTAGAAAATATCTTTATCAAATAACTATTTATGAAATACTTGAAATTTACTTGAAATTGTATCTTAATGGTCCTGGAAACTACTTAAGTTTTGTTACTTGTGACTTGAACATGTTGAACAATGATGCAATTTATGTTACTAGATTATATAGGTATATCCTCGCTTATCCAATGAGCATTGTCAACTAAAATAAAGTACTAATTACATTAATTTTTATGTATTTTGGTTCATTGTCGACTTAAGAAGGAATTATTTGCGAGTACAATTATTTGCAGATGTATTTTCCAATATCAGCTGTTATATATTTTTGTGTCTACAGATGTGTAGCAATAGAATTTAGTAGCCACAAGATATTTTTCTAGGTATTCATTTGGCTACCTCTGAATTTTAGACAGTAGACAAACTGAAATTTAGGTTGCATTTTTTGGCTACCGTTTAAGTCGCAACTTTGAGGCCTGAAAACTATACTTTATTACACTATACATGGGGTAGAGCAAACTTTATTTCTTAAAGAAATATCCACTCCATCATGATGAGGCATCCAATAAACAATGATAAACTATGTTATCGTATCTTTAGCATGTTCAGACGGCCTCTTATAAAGAGCATCGGTTATAGTGGAATCCAGGGGACAATCTTCATTTAAAAAACAACCAAAAAATCCTTAAATATTCCAAATCCAATGGTAGTCAATTACTGCATTCCAGTATTTTACTCATTAAGGAATACATTAATGTAGGGAGGCCCTTTCCCAGGTTGATTATACAAATTTTTTTATTTGGTTACATACTAGAAGGAAAAAAGACACCGCCCGCCCGTACTATATTTTCAAAAACCCTTGCCTGAGAACCAATTCTTTTATTTTTTTTAAGCCTAATAATAAAAATATCATCAAATTGCATTCATTATTTATGTAGATTCCGGTTTCAAGTTTGATTGACTTGATCTAAGTACTGATGGCAGGATGTGTTGCTAAACAGTTAGGTGCATTTAGCATGTTTAGTGTCTGTTTAGTGTTGAATGACATTTAACTTAAGTGATATAAAGGTTTTCATTGACTCATGAAACCTGCATACTTGACACAGTCTGTGATAAATTAACATGATTAATGAAGTGTATTTGGGACAATCGATTGGATCCGGTATTGACAGAAGTATGGATTTGTCAAAGTCTGGTTTAAACAGATTACACTCTATGTCCAGATGAATGCCATTTTTTCCCTTGGATGAATATGTTATTCCTTATGAAAGTAAAAAATATGACGTCTAGATCTGTTGTTTTTTGTCTTGAACTGTTATCACCATGATCACAGAAAAGTTTATTTTTGTTGAATGAAGAACTTGTGTAAACGGGAACACTGCGGTTAGTTTACAAACACTGGACAGAAATACAGTCTACTTGACATGTGCTTCAGACCAGTGGCAGACTGTCATACATGTCAACATAGCTTAACACGCTAATGTAAACCAAATAAAAGAGATGTGTAATGGGTTGTTTTAAAAAAAAATAGACGATGGTGTTGGTGAAAACAGTATTGGTTATTCTAGCATGGTATCAGGTAAGGGGAAAGACAGATGTTTTGATGCTGTTTGTGGTTTAATTGCCATCAACACAGCTGAATGATCCTGCTTTCTGTGTAGATTTTGGAGTGTTGTATATATATGTGTGTGCATGGTAAAGTCAGGAGTTGGTAACTTTCAGGGTGAGTCAGAATACAAGGATAACTATCCTGAGTTTCAATCATACAAGAGTGCCTCCTTCGAACCCAGCCCAGAACAGGCAGCATCATCAGCCGGGCTGAACACGATGAAGAAAGGTACCGGTCACAGCAGCCCTTGCAGCTCATTCTAGCATCTCTGCACACTTTCAGTTACGATACATAGATTTAATTCACAATCGTATTATTAACGTTTGGCAGTTATTTTGTGGTTTTGTTTTTTATATTCAATTATGTTTTTTTATTTTAAAACTTGGGACGGGATTTAAGCATGTTAAGTGTTCTTTTTGTTTATTTTGGCATTTTACTGGTGACTGTGCCATGAAATGGACTTACCATCGCATCTTATTATGGATATGATGTATGTGTAGTTTATGTCTGTCACCTTGTGTGATTTGCTTTGTGCTTATCGTTTAGTAACCAGGCTTGCTTTTTGTTGATGCTTGTTAACCAAGAACAATCACAACTAACATTATATATATGTATCTTCTTGCACTATCTAGTCTATGTGTCTTGGTATATTGGAATACTCTTTAACTTGTAAAGAAAAACAGTTCTACAAATGACGTAAATTTTTTCTTATGCTTAGTGTTTTATCCCTTTTATTCTTTATCCTCAATACTTACCCTCATGATCATTTCTCTTTTTTGCAAATCAAACTCAAAAGTGAAAGTAGACACTAAATTCTTATCTTCGGATTTTTCGGACCTTGCATGTTTTCACTTGATTCTTGCATGTTTTTTCTTCTCCACTGTTTATGATTAGTTTGTAGTTGTCTGTTATCTACTGTCATCAACTTGGCAATTTGTTTACAAGTATCTTTGTTAACTGATATGTTTTATCAATATATGTTATTATGATTGTTTCCTTTACATAATTAACTTTTTTAGGGTATAAATATCATTTATACTTATCTTGACTTATACGAATTGCTTGTCTCTTCACATTCCCGAAAGGTAGTGGAAACTTCCTGTGCTGTGTTCCCAGAGACCAGAATGACATCTCTCCCAAATGCACCCCTCACAGCGCAGGGACACCCAAACCATGTGACCAACCCGTCTGACTCATCACTCTGATTTTTCACATCAAGCTATTTGGGATTCTTTTTTTCTGTGCATGTAATCTGAACCATCCTATCAAAATTACCCATTTTCATTTAAAATGTTTTGTTCAGATTACTTTTTCTAACATCCCTTCATCATCTCCATCGTTTATTTTTTTATTTGGCTGTAATTTCTCACCATGTTGGCTCTTTAAATATCCCCCGATTTTCATGAAGAAATGTGTCTTAAATGTTGCCATCATAATATTTAGACCGTGATCCTCACCCCACAGTGATAGAAACTTCCAGTTTTAGCCCACTAGTCCTTATGATGACATGGTTCTGTGAGAGGGGTGCATTTGGGTGAGATGTTTTCTGTTCTCTGGGAACACAGCACAGGAAGTTTCCACTACTTTTCGGAAATGAGAAGAGATGAGCAATTAGCATGAGTCAGGACAAGTATAAATGATATTTTTACCCTAAAAAATTCATCATGTAAAGGAAACAATGATAATTGATATTTTTGTAAGAGTGCTTAATATATAATGTTTCATAAAGATGCAGATGCATCTACTACACTGTATTTTGAACATATTTAGTATAATAATTAACATGCTTTAATCATGCGTCTTTTATATTTTATGACTTTATTTTTCTCTAAAGATATAAATAATTCAATTTCAGAAGTAATATTAATTGATTATCATGATTACTACAGATATGATCAAAGAATTGAATCTATTACTATTAGATGTTGGGGAGTCCTTGTGGGTTTGAATCCGTTTTTGCTCCAGTAATGATCCAGTAATGATCCAATCATCCTTTCCTTGCTTGTTGGTTTGACCAGATTGGTAAAAGTGAATTGCTTTTGGCTTCCCACCCATATCGAACATGATTGGAGGGGGCACAGGTGACCCAGTCGTCTAAGGCGCCACGATTCGCTGTGCAGAGTTGCATTCCTTGGGCACGCCAGAAACCCATGATTGTGGGTTCGAATCCAAGTTCCCCCCGATTATGTATCTAGGTTTGTCAGCACCATACCCGTGCTTGTGGGTTTCACCTAAGTGGTAAACGTCTCAGACCTGCATCAGTTCGGGCTTTCCTCCCACATTAAGCTGACATGCCGTGATATAACTGGAATACGGTTAAAATCGGCATTAAACCCAAGTCACTCACTCACATGATTGGACATTCTGGGATGTAACTGAATAGTGTTCTCCATGTACTCACCCACTGATGTTTTCTAGCACTGGTTACTGAGCCACCCCTACAGAGGAGGAGGAAAGTCACAGGCCCGCCGGTGTCTTTGTCTACTGAATTTTATGACCAGCGTTTGGCTCAGCCTGCCCGGGATTTTGCTTTGCTCGGTCAAAATGAGAAGTTTGCCAGCAATGTACAGTACCGACCAAAGTCTTGCAACTTTAACAACAACAATCGAGCTTTGTCACCACCAAAACAACTTCGCATGGAGCAGCAAGTAAGATACTGTGACATTATTTGCGATAGAACTGTGATGTGGAGTAACCTTGTCGCACACTGATACTGCCTGTGGTAGACTGGCCCTGATCTATGAATATACGTCATGTACATGTAACTTATGAGGCTATTTCATGCTGGAAACTCCCACAGGGCATTCCATGGTGGAATTGGTCCCAATGACCTTGTGTTAGGAGTCAACAGAGATGCATTGTGTGCTCACTTTTCTGATTGCGTGTCATATTTCCCTGATGACATGGATTGTTACTCTTTCTGTCAGTCACTGGTTTGCCTGTATCAGACCACAGGCCCTTGTGTCATTGCTTAAATATTTCTAGATCAATTAATATCACAAGTGTCAGACAGACCCGCACATAATCAGTAGAGGACGTAACGTGTACGTCAGACGGGAGACCCCTGACCTGACCTGAGAGGGGGTCACTCGTAGGCGTGACGGTCTGTCAGTGGACCATGGATTTCTGCATGTTGCACAAAAATGTCTCTATAAGTGTTATTTGTGAAAATGATAAAACAAAATTACGTAGTCATTGATCATCATACTAGTTATCGTATGACATGAAAAAAATGTCATAAGAAAAATAAAAAACGGTCAAATTGGGAGAAAAATGTGCAAAAATTGAGCATTATTGATAATAGGTGTGTGTCGGAAAGCGGCTTTGAAGGCAATTTTTCAGAAACTTCCAAGAGCAACCTGCGACTCACGATGGTAACTAAAAACTATCGACCAATCAGAGGGCTGCTTTCTGACACACCCCAATTCTGTGCGGGTCTCATGTCGGCCATTTGTGTCCAGTTGGTTCAAAGTAGCGAGTTGACTTCTTTCGGTCGATATTATTTCAAAGCAATAAAGAATTGTGAGGTGTCATGTATGGAAGTCGATAGAATAATCACCCTAGACAAGGTAGATAAGTTGTTGTGTCTGATTTGCGATTTTACTTTAGAAACAGCGATACAAGGTGAGTGGTGCTGTACAGAGTGTCTGGCCTTGTGTAAAGGTATAATAGGATAGTGCATTTCTGACACTCGTGATGTTAATTCATCTAGAAATATTTAAGCAACGACACAAGGGCCTGTGGATCAGACTTCATTATTTACATGCTGCTGTGATACAGCTGGAACATTGCTGACTGGCTATAAACAACATTCACTCAGTTCATTCACATTATGTAAAACAAGTATTAATTTGCAATTGTTACAAGTAAAAAATCTGAAGCTAAGGCTTATTAAAGTAAAAGAATTGATTCTCAGGCAATGGTTTTTGAAAATATAGTGCGGGTGGGCGGAGTCTTTTGTTATTTTATAGGTTGTGCATGCTAATATGTAACCAAACATGCCAAATACTCAGCTGTGTAACCAAATGAACAATGTGTACAATCAACCAAGGAAAGGGCCTCCCTACATAAATGTATTCCTTGAGTAAAATACTGGAATACGGTATTGGACTACTGTTGGACTTGTTGGGAATAGTAGAGGATCTTTTTATTTATTTTTTCAAAATGGAAATAAAAACGAAACGTGCGGTGAACTTTATGATGATGCAGGCGGTGTCTGAGAATCAAGACTATTATTTTTTTTTAGCCTAACACGTTAAGAATTCACCCAATTTCAGCAAGTTCAGTGTGTAAGCTGTTTGTAATTAACTGTACACTGAGTGTTTTCCTGTGTCACACATGTAACCCCTTTGTTTACACCAGCATGATCAAATCATTGACAAAGCAAAGCCTGCTCCGGTAGTTAACACACAGAAGTTTGTGGAGCCCCCAATGCCTCCCACCCCCCTCGCCCCACGCAGGGAGTCTGGCCAGGCAGCTCTAAAGACCAAGATGGTACAGACACACCAGAAGAGCAAGCCTGTCCCTCAGAAGACCGGTGACAAGGCTGTCCGTGAGCTGCCTCTGAAGCAAGCTGCTGGGAAGAGCAGGACGAAGGAGAATGAAGCACCGGTGAAGCAGGCTTTGAAGGATAAGAATCTCAGTGATGTTCTGGGAGAACTGAAGAAGAAAAAGCCCAGCATGAACGAGTTCACTCAGGCCAACATGGAGAAGGGTGTGGTTGATTCTGCCCCTGAAGCTCCTGTGAGTCAGCACTTTGATTGTTGTGGATTTAAGGGGTTAGGCAGTGTCCAGTCTTTGAAATTGATGCTAGTCTGCTAGCCCAAGACTACTATATTGTGCAGAGGGCAATTTAAGATCCAGTGATGATAGTCCTCATTGACTAGTGTCATTTGAGGGCTATCTTTTGAAACAGTTCTCAATGCTTCAATTTTGCTGTATAAAAAACAAAACAGAAAATATTTTGGTTTTATTCAAGCAGGACTTGCTGATTCACCCAAATTTTGACCTTGAGTTGGTCAGCACTATACCTGTGTTCACTGTTTTCACTTCTACTAACTGCGTAAATTGGGCTTTCATGTCACACATAAATGAAATATTGTTCAAAGCAGCAGTAAATCAACCCACTTAGTTATGATACACAAAACAACACTGAACAATGTAGGTCTTGAATTTAGAAATAGGTGTCAGATTGTTTCACACTGTCGTAAAAATTATTGTGAAGATATTTTTAATTTTTGGTAATGATATTTAGAAGAATGTCCCTTCAGACTTTGTTAATATCATGAAATTATTCTAATGACACATGTCTGCAGCACATTCTTTACATGTTTAATATCCTTTAATTTTTACTTTGGAAAGATACTGCATTTTTGATAGACAGCTTTGTGTCCTTCATTGTTCATGTATGTTTATCTCTCTTGCAGGCTGACTATGCCATGAAGTACAAGGCAGGTGTTGCCCCATCCCGGCCATCACGCAAACAGTCGGAGTACCAGCGGGAGTTTGAGTGGAAGAACAGAATAGGCTCTTCCCCCATGTTAGCTGCAGAACAGGTAATGAAGACTAACCTGATCTAATGATTCATGACTTGTGACTGGTGCTCTAGTGATGGAGTATTGTGGACTTGAGGATAAGGCAGCGCTGCAAGTGCCAAGAGTAGTGATAATCTGGAAGGGAGGGCTGTTGCGCCACGTCATGTTATTACTAGTCCAAATAAGCACTGGTGTCTACCCTGTTCTCCTGATATCAATGGGTGTACAGTGTTTGAATTTAGCCATGATGGGTAGGCAGTCTTTGTCCCCTCTCATACTAAGAATTAAGAATTTGGGGGATTCTTAGATTCTTCAACCTCAAGGTCACCAGGACCCCCTTAATTATTAAAAGTGGTGTATGATGCTGAAAGCGAAATGCTATATGCCATCATTACCATGGAGCTATATGCAAACTGAAAAAAAAATGTAACCCAGGCTTCGGATATCATATGGATATATTTTACATGAAATAGTAACACTTTTACAAAGTTAAAAATATTGAAGAGTGTCGGACATAGCTGAACCCATCTTCCCGAGGCAAGAGAGTTAACTGACTTCCACCTCTCGTATCACTTGCATTTGCTTCAAACAAAAATGGCGGCGCCGAGTCAAGACGATCTGATCGATAATCAAGATCTTTATTGTGATAAAACGGATCTTACATCGCAAAGTGCATCAGAATATGTGAGCACCTTGATGAAAAGCATGAAAAGATTTGGAAAATATCTGTTGACACCAAGTTGGCGGTGCACATGCTTTGCAAATCCTGCAATCGGTCGAAATCTGCATGGCAGTTTATGAACAGGATTGCGATTTCATTGCACGATTTTGATTGGACTATGCATAGACTCGTTAGTTCAGCCATAATCTACCTCCATAATACCAGCCTCGCTCGGCAAGGGTGGAAACTGGACTTTTATAGTCAGTTAACTCTCTTGACTCCACCCTTGACGAACTAGGCCTGGTAATTATGGAGTTATATTTTGGCTGGACTAACGAGTCTATACATAGTCCAATCAAATCGCCTAACGAAATCGAAATCCAGTTCGTAAACTGTCATGCAGGTTTCAGTCGATTGCAGGCGCTACAATCGAATCCAGAAATTCCAGCCTAGTTTGGCAAGGGTGAAAACTGGACTTTTACTGTCAGTTAACTCCCTTGCCTCGGGAAGATGGCAAATTTGGGTAAATTTGCTTTTTCATTGACTCATGCAAGCTTTAAAAGATAAAACAAAATAGTCTGTGTATATGTGCATTAGAAACAATAGTGTTGGTGAGTTACTGTTGTTCATACACACACAACATGATTGTTGGTGCTTGGAGTATGTGAGATCAGACTGCTACGGTGATTGCTAGATGTATGAGTTAAATAATCTTTGTTCCAGGTGGTGTACAACAGTAAGGTGGGGCCGGTGAAGACATCAGGCTTCCCAAAGACCTCCGAGTACAACGCCCAGTTCAAGAAGTGGAAGGCAGTGGAGAACGAGCCGGTCCCAGCAGTGAAGCGCGCAGTGCGGCAGATGGCTGCCACTAAACAGAAGGTAGGGACAGTGACTCCTGAAGATTCCACTTGTTTGCGATTGTACAGGAGTACCCATCTTTGTAAGTATGTGTGGTCGCATGTGAATCTGTGAGCTTTTGGATGTATGTTGAAAATTGTCAAAACAGAAGAGGATGTAACAAGAAATGTTTTCACTTTGTTTTCTTTTTTACATCTGGCTTGTATAAATGTAAAGTCTTTAGACAGGAAATGTTTTCTTTGTGTGTGTTCATTTATCAGGTTTATGTTTGGGCAGTAGAAATAAGACAATAATATCAATATTTCAACAACAAACAATACAAATATATCTATTGCCAATCTCTTTTCATGTAAAAAAGGCTCAAAGAAATATTACTATGTAATAAGTCAAACCGATGAAAGCTTAAAAGTTATTGACAAGTGGGAAGAGGAACTTTTAATGGATATGAACTGGCCTAGCTTATTTATCAGAGCACACAAAACTACTCCAGACCCTAAACTTAGATGGTTTCAGCTTAGATTGCTCCATAGAATTCTACCTGTTAATACTTATCTACTCAAGATGCATATTGTTGACAACTGTCTATGTACTTTCTGTAATGCCGAGCCAGAATCTATCCAACATCTGTTTTGGAACTGTAGGGTAAGCAAAAGTTTCTGGAAAAGATTTTCACAATGGATTGAATCCAAGTGTCCACATACTGGCAAGATAAATCTTACTTCAGACCTAATTCTTTTTGGCTTTTCAAAACATGTCCACACTGATGATATCTTTGATCTGATACTCGTATTGGCCAAATTTCACAATTATAGATGCAAAATGAAAAATAACCAACCAACCATTACACATTTCCAAAATGAGGTTAAATATTATTACCAACTAGAAAAATATAGACACTTTAATAAAGCCAAACAGACTGAATTCTATACGAAATGGGCTCCTTATGAAAACCTTTTGAAAATATAAACATTTGCTATTCCAAAACTTTACTAAATATATATCCTGCATTCTGTCTTCATAAGTACTAAAGGTTCTAGTGAGTGTGAATGTGTGTATGGATGTGTGCGAATGATATGTACTTTCTTAAAAAAACCCTGGTCATGTATTTTGACTCTTATCCAAACATGATGTACTTTTACCAGGAACAATAAAAAAAAAAAAAAAAAAAAAAAAAAAAATTTATTTCAATGTATTACCTTAATATTATAGAATATCAACAAATTTTAAGTCCAGTGTAATAATGAATAATGAATTCGGCTTCACAAACGTGCGTTAAAGCTTGATGAAAAGGTAAAAGAGGGTTCAAGGGGAGGTAACTCTGGTCAGTGACTTGGTGGAGAGCGCCCCTTTGCGGTGAAGTATGTTTTGAGTTCTGTGAGGGAGTTCTCTATATATTGCATCAGGATAAATAAAATAAAATATATTAATATACTACATATTCTAATTTATGTAATTTTCCATCGACAGGCACTGAAGAGGAGCAAGAGTGTTGGTGGTGAGTAATGATCTGTTAACACATGATATGATAATGAACACTTGATACTAGGGGGCTAGGCATGTGTGATCAGACTGCCAGGGTGACTTCTGAATGTACGGATGAGTTTTATACATTGTAAAACAATGAGGGAGAGGGTACGGATGGCCCAGTTGTCCAAGATTTGCTGTGCAGAGTTGCATCCCATACCCTTGACAGGATCCACAGTTCATGAGATAGAATCAGAGAGAATCAGAGGTTCACAGCTAGGTTCCTTGTGGGTTTCACTGAAGTGGTAAACGTGTACATGTTGCATCACTTTGTCTTTCTACCTCATTTACTTGCAGCTCCATGACTGAAAAATGTCCAAGGCTGCAATATACCTCCTCATTCACAGAGTACAAATTAATATGTATACCAATTTTGGTGAACTTGCTTGTTACTGAGATATTTATTTCTCCAATAAATTAAGTCATTTGTAGCATTTGAATTTGCTGCCTATCTGTCGTCCTATTGTTAGGCAGTGGACTAGTCATCTGTCATGTCTTCTGTGTGTTTTTAAAGCGTGTTCTACTTAACCATTTGTAAACGCTGCCAGTCATCAATAAGTAAGTTTGAATGTCATGGTTCAGTGCCACTTAGTATTATCACAAACAGCAATTCCTCATCTGTCTGGGGGGCACGCCAGAAACGTGTGATTGTGGGTTTGAATCCCGGTTCGCCCTGATTATGTTTCTAGGTTTGTCAGCACCATACCCGTGCTCGTGGGTTTCACCGAAGTGGTAAACATTTGAGACCTGCATCACTTCGGGCTTTCCTCCCACATTAAGCTGAAATGCCTTGATATAACTGGAATACTGTTAAAAGCGGCGTTAAACCCAACTCAATTACTCCTCATCTATCTAGCTGTTTGAGTAAACATACACTGAGTATGTGCCATGTGTTACTCCCCTTGTCTCTTAGTTCCAAGTAAATGCCTAGTTGTGTATGTGTCAGCTGTGGATGGCCGCAATGCTGCTAGACGTGGTCCATCTGTAGAACGGGACAGACAGGCTGGCCAGGAGGAGGAAGAGGAGGCTAAGGCAGAGGTGCCTAAAGCACAGCCTCACCATGGAAAACTCAGGTGGGACATTAGAATGTAGGTCTCCAGCCTGTGCTGGTAATGCTGCTGTAACTGTCACATCACCTGTAGGGCTGCAACGGTTCAGTTCGGTGCACCAAGAACCGGTACGTGTCGTCTCGATTCGATCTTCGATCTACAAGGTTCATTCCTATTTTTGTAATAAAAATGTAAAATTAAGAAAAATAACCTACCTTGTTGACGAAAAAAATTAAAAGACTTGCGTTCATATCAATGAAAATGTCCAAAAATGCATTTGTTTGAAACTTTTGACGACTGTCACTTGAAAACGAAAATAGATTAGAGTGACCTCTCTTTGAAAGCATGGCAGACGATGTGCTATCACCAGCCCCAAGTCATCTAAAATCTAAGGTTTGGGCTCATTTCAGGTTTAGGCAACAGTCGAAAGATGCTGCAACTTGTAAAGTTTGTTACATGGACATTAAGTTCAAGGCCGGAAACACGACTAATCTTTCAAACCATTTGAAATGAAAGCATGGACTCGATGTCAACGCGAAGACTATTGTATATTATTAGACTAATGAATCGAATCGAAAATAATGGAATCGAATGGAAATAATCGAGCATCGACCCGAATCGAAGTATTGGTGAACCGTTGCAGCCCTAATCACCTGCACTGTCCACATCATCACTTTGTGGCCATTTAGGACCTGCTAATGCTGACAATAATTGTCCCTCTTCAGAACTCTTACGCTGAAACACCCACCCAGCTATCCCTGTTCTCCCTGGTGTGTTTTTAGACTAGTAAAGATTAGGAAAATAGAGAGAGAGATGAGTCACACTGCCTGGTCCTGTGGTTCTGTTGCACCTGCACAAGGCAGGGTTGCGTTTGGGGGAAATGTTTTTCTGTTTTAAGTCAAACTATTCTAACTGTTGTATGATCTTAGCAACACAAGGACAATTAAACAGCCTTTAAAATTCCAAATATAAATGAAAACAACATCTTCTAATTAGTTCAGAATCTGAGATATATGTTTTGTCTCTATTACTAGGAGAGTGGTCTCTGAGTATGCTGCCAACTTCAAGAACCCACAGAAGTTCAGCTATGACAAGGGAGCATGGAAGGGGGCCGATCCTCCTCACATGTATGCCCAGAAGGTTGGTTGTTGAAATCTGTTAACGGATAATTTGTACTGTACTGTATTTGTCATGATTACTGCTCGTACTATCAACCACTGGTTTGCCGGTCATTATTTTTTACAGGCCGCTATGATGCTGATGGAACATGATGCAAAAACAACATTCGCTATCCTCTTCTTTGGGGTTCAGGGGCGGTCGGTTAGCCTAGTGGTTAAAATGTGGTTAAACCCATCTTTCCGAGGCAAGTGAGTTAACTGACTATAAAAGTCCAGTTTCCACCCTTGCCGAACTAGGCTTGTATTATGGAGTTATATTTTGGCTGGACTAACGAGTCTATGCATAGTCCATTCAAAATCGCGCACCGAAATCGAAATCCGGTTCGTAGAGTGTCATGCAGATTTCGGTCGACTGCAGGATTTGCAAAGCATGTGCACTGAACTCGTTGTCACTGATATTTTCTAAATCTTTTCATGTTTTTAATCAAGGTGCTCACGTGATTTGAAGCACTTCGCGATGTAAGACTTGTTTTATCACAATATAGATTTTGATTATCGATCAGATCGTCTTGACTGGGCGCCACCGTTTTGTTTGAAACAAATGCAAGTGACATGAGAGGTTGAATCTGATTGGTCAATAGGAGAGGCATAGAAAGGACATAACTCGTAATAGCCACTGGTGGCGCTACGATCGAGCCCAGGGATTCCAGCCTAGTTCGGCAAGGGTGGAAACTGGCCTTTTAAAGTCAGTTAACTCTCTTGCCTCGGGAAGATGGGTTAAACCTGGGTTCGAATCCTGACATGGGGACATTGTGTAAAGCCAATTTTTGGTGTCTATATTGCTGGAATATTGCTAAAAGCAGCGTAAAACCATACTCACTCTCTCACTTTGGGGTTGACGCTTTTTTATTCAAGCATATTTCTTTCTCGCCAGCCTGAAGTTGCCAGTGAGGAGCCCCCACTGAAGAGCTGGTTTGCTGAGGTTCTTGAGCTGCGACGTAAAGCCGATGAGTACAAGAAGAGAGCTCAGGGCACTCACTTCTCTCGGGAACACCTAGTGCAGCTACTGGCTAAACAGGCTGGCTTCTGGGACATCCCAACAGCACGTAGCAGCAGCAGCAGCACCCTGTCAGCTCTGTCACTGGAGGCTGGCAACCTTGTACATAAGTAAGTACATCCACAGACACATTGGGCTCAGGGTAACCTTGTACTTAAGTAGGTACATCCCAAGACACACAGGGTTCACGGCAACCTTGTACTTAAGTAGGTACATCCACAGACACACAGGGTTCACAGCAACCTTGTACTTAAGTAGGTACATCCCCAGACACACTGGGCTCACGGCAGCCTTGTACTTAATTAGGTACATCCCCAGACACATTGGGCTCACGGCAACCTTGTACTTAAGTAGGTACATCCCCAGACACACTGGGCTCACGGCAACCTTGTACTTAAGTAGGTACATCCCCAGACACACTGGGCTCACGGCAACCTTGTACTTAAGTAGGTACATCCCCAGACACACTGGGCTCACGGCAACCTTGTACTTAAGTAGGTACATCCCCAGACACACTGGGCTCACGGTAACCTTGTACCTAAGTACATCCCCAGACACACTGGGCTCACGGCAACCTTGTACTTAAGTAGGTACATCCCCAGACACACTGGGCTCACGGCAACCTTGTACTTAAGTAGGTACATCCTCAGACACACTGGGCTCACGGCAACCTTGTACTTAAGTAGGTACATCCCCAGACACACTGGGCTCACGGTAACCTTGTACATAAGTACATCCCCAGACACACTGGGCTCACGGCAACCTTGTACTTAAGTAGGTACATCCCCAGACACACTGGGCTCACGGGAACCTTGTACTTAAGTAGGTACATCCCAAGACACACTGGGCTCACGGCAACCTTGTACTTAAGTATGTACATCCCCAGACACACTGGGCTCACGGCAACCTTGTACTTAAGTAGGTACATCCCAAGACACACTGGGCTCACGGGAACCTTGTACTTAAGTAGGTACATCCCCAGACACACTGGGCTCATGGCAACCTTGTACTTAAGTAGGTACATCCCCAGACACACTGGGCTCACGGCAACCTTGTACTTAAGTAGGTACATCCCCAGACACACTGGGCTCACAGCAACCTTGTACTTAAGTAGGTACATCCCCAGACACACTGGGCTCACGGCAACCTTGTACTTAAGTAGGTACATCCCCAGACACACTGGGCTCACGGCAACCTTGTACTTAAGTAGGTACATCCCAAGACACACTGGGCTCACGGAAACCTTGTACCTAAGTACATCCCCAGACACACTGGGCTCATCGCAACCTTGTACCTAAGTACATCCCCAGACACACTGGGCTCACGGCAACCTTGTACTTAAGTATGTACATCCCCAGACACACTGGGCTCACGGCAGCCTTGTACTTAAGTAGGTACATCCCCAGACACACTGGGCTCACGGCAACCTTGTACTTAAGTAGGTACATCCCAAGACACACTGGGCTCACGGTAACCTTGTACTTAAGTAGGTACATCCCAAGACACACTGGGCTCACGGAAACCTTGTACCTAAGTACATCCCCAGACACACTGGGCTCATCGCAACCTTGTACCTAAGTACATCCCCAGACACACTGGGCTCACGGCAACCTTGTACTTAAGTATGTACATCCCCAGACACACTGGGCTCACGGCAGCCTTGTACTTAAGTAGGTACATCCCCAGACACACTGGGCTCACGGCAACCTTGTACCTAAGTACATCCCCAGACACACTGGGCTCACGGGAACCTTGTACTTAAGTAGGTACATCCCCAGACACACTGGGCTCACGGTAACCTTGTACATAAGTACATCCCCAGACACACATGAGTCGTGTTCCTTTGGGCCAATGGCCTTTTTTCACTTAGAACAGATTATCCGTAATTCCTTTGTAGATTATTGATTATGCTCTGAACTGTTTCTCTTTGAAAGCTGCTGATTTGTGAGACTGTAACTTGTCATGGCTATCCCCACCTTTAAGACACCTAAATTTCTTTCAAAAACCTTTTACCTGATTTTCACTTCAAGCCATTTCTTTATACAAACTTCAGTCAATAGCTCCAAAAAATTGTTGATGGATTTCCTACACCATGTTTATTAATCAAAGGTTGATCATGAGAAACAAGTCTGAATGATGCTATGAGTAACCTGCTTACTTTGTACTACTCAGGGCAAGTATGGCTTAAAGGTTTTCCTTCTGCTGAGCCTTAAGTTCGTAGAGAGTAAACAGGTAAAGAAAGCTATTTCTGATAATGAAATCATGTCAGAACCATTTTTTAAAACCTATTCCTGATCAGACATCTTGACAACTATTTAGAAAAATATTCATATTTTTTTTAACAGAACAAAGAAACAATTAAGATCAAAGAAAGAGTCCGAGAAGAATCTTGTAGACTTTGAGTCCTGCAAGGCCACCATCGCAGACTCTGAGACACCATCAGAGCCTGATGATGGTTTGTTTGAGGAGCGGCCGGCAGCTGGGAAGAAGAGCCGGAAGATGGCTTGGAGTGATGAGAACATGGAGCAGGATCAGTAAGTTGCATGCAGCCGTAGCCATTTCTAGCCCTGTGATAATGCTCTTTCAAACCAGTTAGTTATGTCAGATGTATAAAAACTAAATCCATAATAATATGTAAGAATAGATCAGATGGCAAACCTGAAAATTTCAAGGTCAGTTATCCTGTAAATCTGGAAAGTTTTGTGACCCGAAAAGTACTGCAAAAACTGCAATAGTTTCATGACAGTTATTTTTCCAGACCAACAACAAACAAAAAACGTAAGGATGCATATTTCGTTGATTCACATCAACAGATTATCAAACCACCCAGAACATGAATAAATAAATAATCCCTCACATCCTGTTTCCATATTACCCACTGTCATGCAGTGTCAACAGTCTAATCAGAAAACCTGACCAGGAAAATTCACTAACTTGCCACAATTCTTCAATTTCTTTACATAACACTGAGTAGTCGAGACAAAAGCCAGCCTTTAATATAAAAACTACTGTTATATAGACTTCTACTCCAACCTTCTCAACTATAACACATTCATCTTTAGTTAAAAAACACTCACTGACAATGAGCTACTTTTTCATTACTCTGCTTCCTACTCACGAAAAAAACATGTGAAAAGCAACTTTCATCTTTGGTAATCTCATCGACATGTTGTCCAAACTTTCAAGACGCAGTTGAGGCTATAGTTACCCACTCGCAATAATGTTGCAAAACTTGAAGTGATTAACTGTACAGAGCTCCAGATAAGCTTTTGGTATTGTGGGTATTTTACCCATGCACTTTAAAATCATTGGGTATCAGTAATTCTATCGGGGTATTCAAATTTCTGTTACCCACTAGTTTTTACACATGTGGGTATTTAAGTTAAATATTTAAAAACACTTTTCATCTAGTCCCTGCAAACTGGTGTCGTGTGGGTTCGAGAGCATTATAGGACTCAAAAATACCACGATACTTCCACAAGAAAGTGTGATGGCAAATGATCATGATGTAACTGTCATCGTGGAGTTTGGCAAGGTTGATGGAATGTCCGTTTATAATTTCAAAATAAGTTGCTCATTTGCTAATGGAATACGCAGGGTTACTTCACAATATTTCGATGATACCCCCAAGTTTTTTTTTGGTAACGAATCTGTAATGTTTGTTGGGTATTTGATACGCTTGGATTTTATTTTACTGCGTATTTCTGCATTTTTTATGCGTATTTTACACAGATACGCAGCTTATCTGGAGCTCTGACTGTATATTTCTAACCTGACACCAGTTCAGAAAAGTTTACTGTTCCTGCAAGTGTTAACCATTGTTAACAGGGACCTGGTAGAAGCTAAACTTATGAGATTTTGTTCTTTTGTGAAAGAAATTGATGGAAGCTTGTACCGAATAATTTTGAGCTGATTTGTGTATTCTTTGTAAATCATTTAGGGATCATAAATAGCTGTTTTTGCCTCTTGTAAATCAACAATGTTAGATGTGGTTGGGATAGTTAGGTTTCTTACATGGTTTATGGATTTTACAATCTCTATGCTGCATTTCCCACACGAGATTTGAATAGACACTAGTCCACTTGTGAAGACAATAGCTTATAAAAATTGTATGGACTATAGTCACATTGTTTCCTCCCCAAGGTAATGTTATTTATTGTTGCATGAACATCTAGTCTAAAATAAATGATGGACGAGTTGATGGTGTCATCCCTGATGATGTGCATGACTTTGCAGACTGGAAGAAGATGCGGTAGAGAGTGTCATCTCCCCATCAGTATCTTCTGGGACTGCCCAAGGCAGGATCCCCACCCCACAGTGGAGGCAAGCTGGTAAAACACCCAAGAAGACCAGGCACCATCTGGACCGCACTACCCCAGCTGTTGGGGGTGCCATCCTCACCTCTCCCCCTCATCCGGTCACCCGGTCAAGGTCCTCAAGATCAGGTAGCTGCAGTAGTAGATATGCACAAAAGACACTAATAAAGGACTGTTGAAGTAAACGATTTTGTCAGGACATAACATACGGGCTATTAATCTAAATAGTAGTTTATCATTTTTTAGTTGACTAGCATCCTCGGTTATGCTGTGTTTATATCTCCATTCTATTATATCGCCCCGATTATGTTTCTAGGTTTGTCAGCATCATACCCGTGCTCGTGGGTTTCACCAAAGTGGTAAACGTCGGTGACCTGCATCACTTGGGGCTTTCCTCCCACATTAAGCTGACACGCCGTGATATGACTGGAATACTGTTAAAAGCGGCGTTAACCCCAACTCACTCACTCACCATTCTATTATAATAAATACCATGGACCTATTCACCTCCACAGTCTCATTTAGAAACTTTCAACATCTCGCCATTACTAATTTAGTGGGGCGGTTGGGTAGCCTAGTGGTTAAAGCGTTAGCTCGTCATGCCAAAGACCCGGGTTCGATTCCCGACATGGGTACAATGTGTGAAGCCCATTTCTGGTGTCCCCTGCCGTGATATTGCTGGAATATTGCTAAAAGCGGTGTAAAGCCATACTAACTCACTCACTCACTACTAATTTAGTGCATATTTTTAACATCCCATCATTTGAATCACGCTCAAAACGTAGCTATGGTTGCAAATGGGTCCAGGGTAGTTATCATGATAGAACGGAGTTAGAAAACACTGGATAATCAAGAAAGTTGACTGTTGATTGTATTGATTGTGATCACTGAATTGATTATGTAACTGTGTTGACTGTGTTGACTGTGTTGACTCACTGAATGTAATGTTTTTGACTACTGTATGATTTGTGTTGAGTGTACTGACTTAGTAACTTTATCTGTGTCCTTATCTGAGCAGGCAGCAGTCAGGACACCTGGGAGGAAGAATCAGAGAGAAAACAATTTGGAAAGGTAAGCTTTACATCCTGTTTCTTGTTTTGTATGCATCCATATTTCTGATTTGAGGGAATAGACACAATTAATTTTGTATCCTTCATATATTTATATACTCAACATACAATCTTCAATTTTAGCAATTTTTATTGGATTAAGCCTAACTGTGACAGTTGGAGTTTATTGTTGCTGAAACAGATCTAAACTATATTGAATTATTCAGTATTTCATGAACTTTATGCTCGAGGTCAGTGAACAAATAATTTCTGTCATATGGTTATTTTGTCCTTTGTCATTTTCATGGATTGAACTGTTTCATGAACATACCATTCAAAATTGTTTATGCTACATTGGTCTTTTTTTTGCTTTTGCTTTTGCTTTAAGGAAAGTGATTTTGCCTCCATTGGCTAATATAGTAAACAGGATAAAGTATATGTACCAGAGTTCTTCATAGATAAACAATATTTTGTACGTGATAATGCCATTACTTCATAATAGTTCTCGTGTAGCATTAGTGTGTGGGGGATATAAGGTCAATGTTTCCTTCAGACTTATAACCTGAACCGACTGCTGACAACCCCCACGTTTGGACAGCCATCACACGACACACATGCCTTGAGAGACGATGCCGCCTCCATGGACCAGCCTCTGAGAACCACCTATGTGTTCACCCCCGGGGAGGATCTGGCCGACCTGGAGCAGGAGGTCGTGGAAGGTTGGAACACGTTTCATGATATCTTCAACTGACCTCAATTGAACATTTGCACGAGCTGTTTGATATTTAGATGTTAAGCTGAATGACTTTTTCCTAAAAACATGAAAAATATCACAGTACAAACCCTTGTAAAGGTTTGCTTGTAGTGAAGGATGTATGCAAGGATGGTGGAACAACTGCATAGAAATGTTTCAGATGACATGGCTGAATTAATAGAAATTAATGGATGTCCGAATTAATAGAAATTAATGGACCGAAAGTTATCACAGAAAATGAAAAACCTTGGGAAAATGAATTCTTTGAATATATTTTGCTTATCTACTTGTTATGGTCTCATTTTGTTTGCAACTTGACCAATTTGGTTGCTCGAAAGGGACTACATGCAACTTTGTACTGGCATCCTCTGCATGTGTAAGGACGTAAACATGTACCAGCTCCTTCTAGTTTCCATTTTAGATTATGTAAGTCCTTTCTATAGCTGGTGATAAAAGGATTGTTATCACAAGAAAAGGGCTTTCCTGAAAATGGTTTCAGAAGTTTTCTAAAGAAGTTTTTGTATTTTTTACTGCAACTGGATAAACAGCATTCTTGTTGAGAAAACGAATCTGTATACCTTCTGAAGTAAATGGTTCAGATCAATGTCAAAGGGAAGACAGCTAGCTGTCAAGATATCAATGGAGAGTTTTTTGTGATCTTTGTTTTTGCTGATGTAATAATAGATCATCTCATCTTAGTACAGTGTTTTTCAAAGAGTTCAGTTTTTAAAAATAATAGAATGACACAGATAATAAATATTTTGCTTGTTTTAACACTGCATTAATCCCATCACAGAGCCATTAGCTGCTGCCCCTGCTCGTCGACAGTCTCGTAGGAAGGAGAGGATGCGGCCAGCTGGTGTACCCTCCACCCTGCATGAGCAGATGGGTCAGACATACAACAAGCCAGTCCTCAACTTGCCTCCAGGTAGGGTGTCCGCTGTCATAAGTCTTGTAAAAAAATATTCTGTTTGAACTATATCTTGTAAAGTTGTAGTCTGTGGGATTGCATGTCAGAGTAGGCCCCCAGTACCATGGATGATCCATCTGTTTAGATCAGGTGGTTGCAGTGTTAGTCACTGATGTCATCACTGCCTGATGGCAGGAGTTGTTGACATAGATGCTGTCAAACACTGGCTGTCCAGACTCGATTATTTAAAAGCCATTCAGATAGAATACTGTAAATCTGGAAATAAATGCGTCTCCAAATTAATGCGACTGCTGACCCCTAGCTGAAAATGCGACTCAATATCAATGCGACTCCCCTCACCCCAGTGGAATGATACATATCCTTACCTTAATCCAACCTTACCTTAATCCTTACCTCAAACAGCAAATAGCACCGCTTATTAGTGCTAAGTAGAACACTTCCGTAAAAACAATAAACAGTGTTTTCCTAAATACAGCACACAGTTTATATGTTTAATCTGTTGACTGGCATTGAGGAAGTTCAAAGGCAATAAAATAATGGAACCAACAACAGTTCACTGATTGGTATGCGGAGAAGGTGTCAACAAGCATGGGTAGAACTCCTGACCCCAGCAGTGATAACTCACCGGATGACCATTGTGTAATTCCTATTCCTTGAATGACATTGTTATATACTTGTTAGAACTGCTGTTCTATAAACCGTGTTGGTGTTTATATACAAGTTGGTATTTCTGCTATCCAATGTGTTCAGTGAGGCTGTCTGATTGTTGATAGTCATTTTGGAGACATAAATGCAAAGTTGATTAACGCGAGCGATGACCACTCGCATTTTCCCCATTTGATTCACGCTCGCGTTATTTTCAAGATTTACAGTATTGCTGCAGCAGTTTAAGACTACACTCACTCACTACAGTTGTATTTCTTTTTGGAATTATTTTTTTCACTTGTTCATTTATCAAATTGTTATTAATGAAGTCCAATCATTTTAGCACCAAAGTGTTTTGTTTTTCTTTCCAATTTCAGTTATCGGAATATCTTGTCTTTGTCCTTAACCACTTCTAATATGTTTGTTTGTTTGACAGACTCTGAACCTGCTGAAGATAATGATGACAACGTGTCCCTCTCACTGTCTGTCCGATCCATCGCGTCCAGCTGTTCAATGGTGTCGGATATTTATGAGCGATCTAAGAATCGGAGGGACAACTTCTGGACAAAGGGAGACATTGCTACCAGATGAATACATGTATAGGTGTCTGCTGACTGCTGTGCGTGGTGTGCTACTGACTACCAACATCATCTCCTGTGTATCTGGATCATGATGGTTTCTATGCTGTGATCATGATATATCGATTCGTGACAATTCTAGCATCACTTTGAAATCAGAACAGTGCTGTAATACTGCTATTACTGTGCCGTTCTTAACCAGATGGTGTTTCAATGAGGCAGATGCTCATGTGATTTGTTGTTTTGTTTTCGAGTCTTCAAGTCATGAAGTATCTGTCCTCAAAGTACACAGCACACATGCTGTTGCTGTGTCCAACCACAATGACGCCATCTTTTTGTCATGATATTATTTGTTACAAACCTTCATCTTCATCATAGATATGAGGTTACAGCTGAGAAGGGTATTACCTGTCCTGTTGGTAGTTATTCTACAAGAATGTGATACACGTTCATTTTAGGATGAGAAATCACGTGTTTGTTCTTTTAGAATATTTTACCTGTTATAATGATGTACTATCATCTAAATTTGTTTGTTGAAATCAAATTATTCATTTAATATTTGTGGAAGTTGTTGCAGAACTTTGACTGTTGTTTTACTTCTCATTTTACAGTATGAGTTTAGTACTGACCAGTATTATTATTAGATTATATATTAAGCATGAAACCAGTGCAAATTTAAATTTATTTGACTCTTTTACGGTTGGGAGTACATGTATGGTTTTATTTTATTTTGTGCATGCTAGAATAGGTGCATTTCTTAATTTGACCTTAATCAGTGATAGTGATGCTATTGAAGTATGAATTATTACTTATGGTATTTTAATTTTTCTGAAAGATGCCAGTCTTCTTAAACAAGAAACCTTATATTTAGGGATGTAATGTTTAACGAAACGGAATAATATAAAATATATTAACTTAAGATTTTAGTCATTGTTTATTGAGTGTCCGTGAGTTAACATTCTTTATCATCAAAAACTGGCTCCCACAGGAGATATCGCTTGGATTAGATCAAGTGATATCTACACTGTAGATATCGCTGCAATGAAATTACATCACAATGCTTTGCAGACCATTGTGACGTTACAGCTAATTACTGTCTACAAATTGAAAAAGTTGGAAGAATGATGTTGGATGATAAATAAAATCTCACCCTAGTGTCTTTTGATATCATATATATCAACACTCGTTGATAAAAGTGGCAAAAATCCTCGGCAAGCCTCGGAGTTTTTCCACTTTTATCAACTTGTGTTGATATATTTGATATCAAAAGACACGAGGGTGAGTTTCTCTATTTACATAGGGGGCTGAGGGAGGTGTTTTCTTAGGTCATCATTGAAGGAACTGTAAGCTGTATCTCTCTCAGGTGTATCACAGGATGTGTGTTTACATTGCAGAAAATTGCACCATGAGATCAGAGCATGCATGGAAATGGTATGACAGAGCAGGGTATGAAACTCCCAAAAATTTCAGCCAGACCACAGGACTGGCTAGCTGAAAAACTTGCAGCCCTGACCAAAATCTGCCTACCCACTATAATCATATGTTTCTCAGGATAAGCTAACGGGGTTTCTTTTTGGTTACATTTTATCATTCATCTTTACATGTGAATTAATGCTTATCATCCGGAAATATTAAGAATATTTTCACATATGAAATATAACCCGACCGTCGGGCAGGGGGATTTGAAAATCTGGCAGCCCAAGTTGAAATCAACCCGTCTCGGACGGTCGGGCAGGCAGGTATTTCGAACACTGGACAGAGAACAAATTTGTTCCATTTTGGTTCATAATTATGTAATTTGAATGAATGTGATATAGTAATTTAACTATTATGTTTTCCAGAAATGAGCAGTCAGGAAAATAAAAATAATTGTTTCCAAAAACAATCTAGTTTGTGTAATCTGCACAAGTTTTAGCATGTAGATACCTGGTTGATCTATTCATTTTAATTATGCATCATCTAGCAAAGCTCACTGTGATACCGACAACATGATTGTTACTCTGCTTCTGTTTCAGATGCAGTCAGTGCTTGCACTTAAATGAGATACTCAACATTTTTGTGTAGGTTTGTTAATGTGTAATTTATACGATTTCTCAATGAAATATTCCCTATACACTAGCTATAACTATGACATTCTAGTAGTGTGTGACCTCAATAAAACATGTATCGATACCCGTTTTGATTTCTTTAACATTGTGGACACTTGAGTGTGCTAACGTCATGGAAACAGAGCGTCAGTGTCAGAGAATAATCACTCATGATTGTGTGCGTAACAGAAATAAAAGCAAAATTTGTGAAAATTACGCAAATTGAGCACTGAAAATCAGAGATGACACATGGCAGGTGTTTGTGAAGAGGGTATGCATATCCTGCCCTTCTCGTAGCACACCACTATTACACAATGTGCATAAGTTTTTTTGTTGCCTGGTGCCAGTACTCCTCCTTCATCCACTGTTGGTCTGTCTGTTGCTACAGAACTTTCACAGAATTTATGCTGAGGCCTGGCTACTGCAAGATTTTTTACAATGTACTGGGGGCGGTTGGGTAGCCTAGTGGTTAAAGCGTCACGCCGAAGAGCCGCGTTCAATTCCGACATGGGTACAATGTGTGAAGCCCATTTCTGGTGTCCCCCGCCGAGCTATTGCTGGAATATTGCTAAAAGCGGCGTAAAACCATACTCACTCACTCACTCACTTTACAATGTACTGCTTTCACAGAAACATGTCGGAAACCATGAGACAGACATATTCGTGTGATGAATTCACAGTGGGTTCTGTTTATCAGATCTTTTCTCTACATTGAAGTAAGCTTCTCATTATAAATACCTAGGACGCTGGGGTAACCTAATGATTAAAACGTTCGCTCGTCAGGCGGGGTTTGATTCCCCACGTGTACCATGTTTGAAGCCTATTTCTGGTGTCCCTCCCTGTGATATTGCTGGAATATTGTGAAAAGATATATAAAACCATGCTCACTCACTCATAAAATCAGCCATCAGAAATATGAGTATGTCATTCCTTCTTGAAACGAATGTTTCGCCCGAGAATGAAATCAAGATGCAATTTTATGAAAAGGATGCGTAAAAATGTTTGTGAAAAGGTCATTTATTCAAAATGAAATACGTCCTATGAAGCAGCTGGTACCTATTCTGTAAACAAAACCATAACAGGGAGATGATGACATAATCTGTGGCTTGACCCTACAGTGAGGGGGGACTCGAGTTCTTTCAGTGGTGAGCAGTCATCCCTTTCACTGGGAACATACACTGCGTCGAAAGTCGGCGGCAGTTTATCGTGGTCCACCCCAGTTTGACAAATGGTGTCAACATAATATTTCAGCTGACTGCCTGAAACATTAATGAAAGACGTAGACAGTAATATGTTATTAGTATATATAGCGTCTATCAAGCAGTCGGTCTAACATTGGCCATTAAGTTTAGATTAACATACTTGGTAAAATGCACTAGCTTGCTGGGGTGGAAACGACGGTGACGTATGTGTTCATCAAGTACTACAATTTTTATAAACCTATAAAGGTGGACATGATCCTAATCAGTACAAAACAGTTCAATCATCTATGAAGCAAGTTATGGATCATTCAGCAAGCGATTAATAGTTGACATGTTTACTTCATGTAAGAATTGACTGAGTTTATTTATGCTTAGCTTGATATTACTTCATTACCATACTAGGCATTTGCCGCATAATTTGAAAAAAAACCCCGGAACAATTTCACTCTATCGATAATTTCGAATAATGACAAGAATAAAGTTCTTTTCAAAACATTGGTGGGATGATACAAGGGTGGTGTGGTTAAAATGTGACTCCGTGTGAACTGTATTGTTTGTTGACCGTATTGCGTGCTTGTGTTTATGTGCATGATTGTAATAACTGACTTGTTACAGTATAAATATATGTCTATTAATCATTATCGCTCAGCTCGTTAGATTCCAATGCTTAAGGCGGAACCCATTTCGCCTCAACGATGACATCATGGTAGCTGTTGAGAACATTTTGGACAGCCAAGAGAAGGCCCAACAAAAAGTGTATCGATGTGGAAATGGACTATGTTGAAAATATTTTAAATGCATTTTAGCCAAGTCAGTCTGTGTGAGGCTTGCAACATATCAATCCCCCATCGTTTGATACCTTGTTCAGTCTCCGGTCACATGACATGATGTCCAACAGTGCCTCACTTCTGAAACTGATCAACGTGGTGGACAGAATCATCAGCTCTGATGACCACACGGTTCTTATCCACTGCCAGTATGCATTTACCTTCTTCTTCCCCCACCTTACAATGATATACATAATTATGAATTACGGGAATGATGTATTAAAGGTATTAATTAAACACGTTCTTATCATTTGGGACAATTTTTAAAATACAAATATTTGGTTTATGATTGATATTGGTTAGATAAGATATGTACATATTGAAACGAGTGTGGATAATATCGAAAGAAGATGTTGCTTCCACAGACATTATATTTACCGTTCTGTGTACCTTGCATGGCGTGATGTGTGCGGCGTGTTCTGTCCTGAACATCATCAGCAGACTGAGGCTGGACAGAGACGTGAATATCTTTCTCACCATCAGGCAACTGCAGCTTGTCAGACCTCAGTTTGTAAGTCCTTCGTGAGTACAATAACTGATACAATTGATATTTAAATAACAGTACACGGTTGGATGTGAAGTCGTTGACATTGTGAACTTGTTATAGCAATCAATATAATTATGCTGACACAATTGAAATTTAAAATGTTACATATATTTTCTTAAGAGATTAACAAACAATTTGCAAAGTTGAAGAAAATTATCGACTCCTAGCCTTAAGACATACATTAAACATAGCAAAGAAACTATTTGACATTGTTTTAACAGGAAGTTTTGCATGGCAAGATTTATATTCCTTATAAGCGGTTGTTCCACGTAATATAACAATGATACTTATATGCATTCAGTATTACTGATGACGTTAAATGTTCATAACTAACTGTATGTTATTTGCAGGACCAGTTCCAGCTGTGTTATGATGTGGTGAATGAGTACAATCGTTCTGCTAACGTCTACACCAATATGTGACAAAGAAAGATAATTACACTGTATCTTACACAAACACAGATAGTTTTGGAATGATCGTTGTTTTTGTAACTTTGAAAGGCTTTATCATAATCATGCTTAGGCTTCAGTACTTCTTAATTACTGGCTTATAACTAACTACTACTACTACTACAGTTGTCCGTACTTCAAAGCTGATATGTATGTGAGGAACCGTGGATCGTTATGTTAAATTGACAATGACATATCAAGTATTACAGTCCGAAAAGTAAACACCTGGTCAATAAAATTTCATTTATCCACAACGATCCATTTATTTGCATCTGCAAAAAACAACAACCAGTTACTAGTCAAAACGATAGGCTGCAAATGATAAACTACATTGTTCTTTGTATATTATATCTTACAAGCTGGCCGCATAGCTCATAAATGTGTACAATATGCACGGAACCCAAGGGTTATACCAAAATGCAATAATAAACTTTCAAAGATAAAACTTAAGCCATTTTAACTTTTAAAAACATTGCACGAGTACAATCGGAAGTGAATTCTTTATGATCCGGATTAGAAATTGCTCATATCCTTGGAAATCCTGGCACAGGAGAGTAGACGTTACCTTCCGCCCCAACTGATCCAGATCTATAAACCCTATTTGACCTCAATCTTCAGCATCAACAACAGAAGCTACATTTATTGTACAAGTTATTGTATGTGTTAATCGGCGTGTGTATGTACTTATTAACGATGCATTGCCGAGATGTTCATTTCGTACTTGATAAAGTCATTGTTGCATTGAAAGAATAAAGAACTTGACATATAGTTTGTTATTTAGTACATCCTGTCATTTCAAGATATATAGGCGGACACGCAGTTAAATATAATACTGGCATCGCGCGGTTAAACAAAGTTCTATTATTCACATCACATGCGTGTCAATTGCATCTTGACTACAATTCACCATCCACATATAGCATATATGTTCGAATATCCACATGCACGAAGAATGAACAGCGTGTACTTTATTTTATAATCGAAC